CATTGTTGCTGTGGGAAATCAGCTGTCTTCTTTAATCAAAACCCATGAACATGGGAAGTTCAGGATTGGTCCAGGAGGGAAAGATTAATTTTTTTTTTAATATGTGTCTTAATATATGAATATGTTTGAATGGAAACAGCTTTTGTCTTGAAGCTAATGCTGAGCAGCTTAATCTGCCTTCTGCTCAAACACTGAAAATAAAGATTGAAGGGACTGTGAGATATTTTTAACCCCTCCTCTGCCTGCAGGCAGGATGGGCTCTGCCTGTCAGTCCTGACAGGCTTGTTCTAAAAAGCTTCTAATAATGGGGATTTCACAATCCTCCCAGGCAGTTTATTTCGATGTTTCACCCGCTGCCCTTTTAATTTTGGGTTTTTTTCTGGCTGCCCAAGCACTGTTTTCTTTGCTGTACTTTAAGCTTGTTACTCCTTGTCCTGTGTGCAGCAGCTCAGGGAAGAGCCCTGCCAGGCAGGTTTTCTGTAGCTGCAGACTCACTTCTTCCCTTGCTTCCTTCTGCCCTGGACTTCAACAAACTCAGTCCCTTCAATCTTGCCCCGGTGTCTGACAGGGGCTCGGGCAGGGCGGTGACACTGCTGAGGTGACACTGGCACTGTGTGACTGGCACTGTGTGACACTGGCACTGTGTGACACAGGCACTGTGGGACACGGACACTGTGGGACACTGGCACTGTGTGACACGGACACTGTGACACGGACACTGTGTGACACTGGCACTGTGTGACTGACACTGTGTGACACTGACACTGTGGGACACTGATACTGTGTGACACTGGCACTGTTAGCGTTCAAAACCACATAATCATGGGGGATTATATGCAGTGCTTTTTATTAAAGAGCTCTGGGAATTGGGGTATATTCAACCCAAATCTGATTCTGACCATACATCCGAAACGATCATGTTTTTATACTCTATCGTTCCACAACTTTCATGTTAATTATTAAACTTATATTGTTCTATTGCATACATAAATTTAGCCCCTCTCTGAATTTCCAACATAGTTTCTCATTATTCTTCTTATGGTTATATAATAATTACATTTAATTACTAAACAATAAACACATCTAACAATTATATAATTTATCATACTGCAGTTGATCTGGGAAAGCACAAAGCCTAACATTTTAGATTCTATCTTTAACTTTTTCCAGGGGTCCACTATCAACACTGTGTGTGACTGACACTGTGTGACACTGTGTGACACTGGCACTGTGTGTGTCACTGACACCGTGTGACACAGACACTGTGTGACACCGACACTGTGTGTGACTGACACTGTGTGACACTGGCACTGTGTGACACGGACACTGTGACACTGGCACTGTGTGACTGACACTGTGTGTCACCGACACTGTGTGTGACTGACACTGTGTGTGACTGACACTGTGTCACCGACACTGTGTGACACGGACACTCTGTGACACTGGCACTGTGTGTCACTGACACTGTGTGTGTGTGTGTGTGTGTGTGTGTGTGTGTGTGTGTGTGTGTGTGTGTGTCACTGACACCGTGTTGTCCCACCGGGGCTCAGATCTCCCCGGGTCCCACCTGCAGCGGCTGCCCCGAGGCGGGAGGATCAGGAACACCCGAGGGAGGATGCGGGGATGCTCCAGAGGAAAGGCTGGAGCTGCTTTGGAGCAATCCCAGCGCTCGGAGCCGCTCTCGGCTCTTGTGTGACCTCTGCTGTTGGCTCGGAGGGACTCTCAGCATTCCCACCATGGATCTCTCCCATTCCCCACCCACATTTGCATTCAGGAGCGATTACATATTTTAAAAAATCCCAATACGCCGCGGAAACGCACCGGTCACAGTCACAACGACAAATCCTATTTATTCCCCTTAAATGCAATATCAAGGATTCGTTTTTTGCCATCCGGACTTGCCGTGGGTATGGCTGTGTCTTTATTCGGCTCCGGATTAATTTCTTTCAAGCAGCTGGGCAAGGGTGATAGAGGATTTAAAGCATCTCAAAGAGTCCTAAGTTCTCACAGGTTCCATGAAAATTGGGACTGGGGTGAAAGGAGTTAAAAAGAAACAGCAAAGCCAGCCCTCAGGACTTTCCCCGTTTTTTGGTTTTCTGGGTTTTTTTGTTTCTGGTTTTGGTTTTTTTTTGTTTTTTTTTTTTTTGTTTTGTTTTGTTTGTTTGTTTTTGTTTTTTTGTTTTTTTTTAATAATGGATTTTCTGGGATAGTTATCCATTCTGGATAATAAATCTATGCATGACCCCAGAGATGTTAAATCCGCCAAATTTACCCTGAAGTCAAAGCAGGTGGGTTGAAACAAAAGCAAAAGCATTAGGACCCCAAAGTGGCAAAAACTTTGGAAAACTACTCCAAATAAACACTTGGCTCCTCATAAAGATGTGCTTGGGGTGGAGAGGAGATGGTTTATTTTAAATATTTACATATTAAAGTATATTTATGCTACTAACTATGCTGCATTAATAGTACCCCTTAAATTTTCTCTGAATATGTAAACGTGTACTAAAAAATACCTCATAATATGTGAAAATCCGGTCATACAAAGTAAACAAGAAATAAAACATCTCCAAAAAATGTGGTTTATGTATCATCTGTTCTATACTTACTATAAAAATGTAATAACAAGGCTGCTAAAAGCACACACAGAGGCAGTCAAGTAAGTCTTGTGCGTTTCTGCATTATAACAACTATATTTTGTACATAATAAATAACATATATGGCAAATATAATCTTTGTAGCAATAAAATGTGGATACAAAAAGCTCTAAATCCATGTTAATGAAGAAAATGCTGTTGAGTTGGCAGTGTGAAATATAATTATTAAATGTCTCTAGTTGTGTGCATGTAAAGATAAATGTGCACAAACACCTAGACAGAGTGAGTGTGTGTATTAGAAGAAACGCATGCCATGTCCCATATAACATTTATTAATCTTCATCATAATAAAATCTACTTTATATATTTTTGAAAAAAAATCAAAAATGTAAATCTAGCCTTTAAAACAATATGAAAATATGAATTTTAACCTTTAAATCACATCGTTTTATACACGTGTCTCTGGGTGAAAATAAATCGCTTTTGTTTAAACCTGTGCTGAGTGTGTACATGGAAACCTCAGTGTGTACACAGGGGCTGAGCACGAGAGCCACAGGAAGCGTTTCAGGGTTATTAAAACACAGCTTGGTGCACAACATATACTTTATTTTTAAACTCAGATCTTTACCTGTTAATGACGGCAATTTTTAGAAGAATCTTCATGCAAAAATATTAGAAACCTTGTTAATTCTTTTCCATATGCTATATGGAAATGAAAATTAAATTTCTGACTAGACAGAAATTCTGAGAGAGAGTGCACATGTGTGTGTATACATACGTGTGTGTGCATAATATAGAATGTGCAGTAAAATCAGACTTTTACAGTAATAAAATACATAATTTGGAATATAAAAATATTAACCTAGATTATTAAATTCTGCTAAGTATGCTGTATGAAAATATAATAGAGTTCATATCAGTGTATACAACAGTATATGAACATACTACATATATATATTTACATATATATATGTAGAGTGTATATATATATATAGATCTATATATTTTTATGTATATAAACTCTCTCTCTCTCTATATATATATATATATACACACAGTTTATAGACACCCAGAGCTACATGGGCACACTGGTGAGTGTGTACATATATTAGGACATCTCTTATGCATAATTCAGACCTAACAATAAAATATTTTTGTGTGTATTAAAAAGTTTTATTCAAGTAGTAAATTGTGGCAGCCTAAATGAGATACAGTTATTAAAATAGTAAATATATAAAACATAGAAAGAGCTACAAGGATGTGTGTGCCCACGCTGAGTTGTGTATTGCAGCAATATCAGTTTGTGTATAACATATATGGCAAAACCATCCTTTATAACAATCAATATGTATTTTTTAAAAAGTTATAAAGGTTTATTAATAAAATAAGTGCTGTTAAATGTTCTCTATGAAAGTATAATTAGCCAGTGCATACTCTATGGATGCACAGAGATGAATGTGCTTGTGTAGGTGCATGTATGTGTGTGGCTACTGGATCAAATACACTCTCTGTCTCATTAAAAACTTTTGTATTAATAAAGCTTATTGATATATTTATAAAGGTGTACAAAAGTAGGAAGCTAAAAGCAATTATTATAAACATGGCATAAGAAAATGAAATTTTAGTTTATATATTTATAAATTTATATACACACATATCTTTAATGTGGGTATTAAAATATACTAATTTATATTACAGCTATATATTTAAAACTAATGAAAGCATGCACACAGAGGGGAGACTGAGTCAGTGTATTATTAAAACATACATTTTGTGCACAATAGGCACTGTGTATTTAAAATGCAGACTTTTATAGGTAGGTGTGCCTATATATCATGCTCTATACCCTGCTATAAATATACAAATACATATGCACACATGTTTAATAACCTGTATACAGGAAGGGTTAGTCCTGAATTATAGTTTTTCTCTCTCAGGCTGTATCTTTATATAAACTAGATATCTAAAAGCCTGTCGTATGTTATGTAGTCCATATAAAATATTACCTATAATGGAGAGTAAAATTAATAAGTTATGTTGCATACTACAATAAAAAGTTCTCCTTGATATGCAGCATTTTTATGAATTTACTGTATGAATTTACAGTGAATTAAAACACGATCACATCTCATAATATATAAAGTGTATAATGTATACATGGAAATGGTGCTTCCACTGTACCACTTTATTACTTTTATATATAAATATAAAATATTTTTGTTAAAATAGTAAACAGCACTAATTATGGTATAATTTGAATTATTTAATCTCCTGTAAATGCACATTTGCTGTGGTTATACCCAACCCTGGTGGCAGCTGGGATCCATCCCCTGGTGGGACAGACCAGAGGATGGGGGAGATAAATTCCCTCCCAAAAGCCCTGACACACCAAAACAAGCACACAGCTGAGAGAAGAAAAATTTAAAAGTTTATTAAACATTAAGAATAACAGACAAAAAAAAAAAAGATTTGGGCTGAACAGCATACAGGATGCAAACCATTTCTTGTCATACAGATAATTTGATCTATTTGTTAAACTTGTATTTAATTCTGTCTTGTGGTGTTGCCAGAAATACGATGGTTGATCACATATAAGTTTTAATATAATTTTCTTTTCTTCACATAAAAAAGTCAACAAAATAAAAATAAACTGCACATCTCTATTGTAAAATTACCTGCAAAAATAATTTTAAAGCAATAATTGGGGGTATTACAAACCCACAGAGGCAAGATATTCAAATGAGAGGGGTCTGAACTGATCCCATCCCTGGTGCTTGCTCCGGCTCCTCCCCTGCATTCTGAATTTCTTGCTTTTGTGGATTCAAGTCAGAAATTATTTCCATGGTGCTTGGTTTAGTGACTTCACCCCCCCTCCTCTGCCACGGGCTTTCCACAGAGAGCCCCAAGGTGCTCGGATGCACAAATCCATCTCAGTCCCACTGATTTCTAGAGGGCATTCTTTTGTAAAAAGAAAAAATCCACTTCTAAGGTTCAGCAAAAAATGAAAGAGAAGACAAGCATTTTACCAATGCTTATAGTGTAATAGAGGTCAGTGAATTATTTAGATAAGCTATTAATTATTCTGCAAATATATATATTTCTATTTTTATAAAATTACAATTTCTTATACCTAAAAGCTCCTTCATGAGCAACGAAGCCATCAGAGGTGTGATGAGCCCAGCTGAGCTGTCCTTGGGGACTGAAAAATGAGCTGAACTTCCCCTTACTTATTTTCATTGTTATTTCAGGGAGACAACCCGGATAGTGAACTTGGGGATTTTCCAAATTTTAAGCCCACACATTCTGCCTTTTTTTTTTTAATTTTTTTCCCAGGTGAGCTTTTCAGAGTAGCCAGAGTGCCCAAGTCCCACGGGAACTGGGGAGAGCCCAAGCCCCACGGGCTCCTCAGAAATTCCCCATCCCAGAGGAGAGGCTGTGGCAGCTGTGACACTGCAGGGCTGGGATGGGACAGTGAGGAGGCACCAAGGTGGCTCTGGGACAGCTGGGCAAGGCAGAGCCAGGAACCTCGTGCCTCAATAAACCTGACATCCAGCCTTCAACCGCTTCCCACCCCTTCCCTGCCCTAAGAAACAAAAGAATTCTCTTTTTCCTTTCCCAAGCTGCCTTTTGCTCGTTACACAAAGTTTTGTGGTCACAACCCGCCCTAGCAGTGGCACCAGTGACCTCGCCCTGCTCTTGGGGCAGAATTCCCCTTTGTGGGGGTGACTGGAGCCTGCTGCAGTTTGCTGTGTGCTCACCTTCCCTTTCCAGAGGGAACACCAGGGCCATTCCCAAGGGGCTGCAGCAGAGACCCACCTGTGCCAGACCCTCCTGACCCTTCAGTGCCTCCTGCTGACCCTCAGGGGATCACTCACTGCCTTTCAGACCTTCTGCAGCACACGGAAACTCGATTTGCTGCACTAATGGGCAAGCACTGCACCTTACAGGACACCAACAAGCCAGGTATGTTTGTGGAAAAATACTGGAGAAATGCCATCCATGCAAGGGTGCTGTAATGCTGACCAAAATGCTGAGCTCTCTGCAGCCATCTCCTCCTGAAGCATGAATAATGATTTAATGGAATGAACAACGTTTGTGTTTGAAAATAAAGTCAGAACGCTTAGAAAACTGAGAGCAAAACGTAGCACCATATTTTCCTCACGTTACTAACTGTATGCAGTACACAGAGCTGTGTACAGGATCTGAGCTGTTTATAACAAAAAAATTCAGCTGGAAACAGATTCTAGCAGCAGCAGCAGACTGGAAATTACGATGAGTGGTTTTGTGTTATATATTATTTTTCTGCCATTACAAAATGTTGTAATGTCCAATCAATAGTTGACTAAAATCCATGTTGTGCTTTGTCCTTGTTAAACAGTTAATTTATGTGTTTCTGATGAAAAATAAAAAAAAGTCTCTCTTTTTCAGTAATATGGAAAATCCTGGAAAGCCATATTACTTCCATAAAAATTTAATTTAAAGCACAGAACATGCCAGTGTGCCAGGCTTAAAATTATGGATTTAAAAAAAAAAGAAGAAAACGACAACCAACAAACCCCTAAGCATTTCCTTTCTATACAATAATGGAGAATATATATCTTTGCTATATATTTTAAACATGGAATAGCTTTTTCTTTTTGCTATATATATGTCTTTCAAAATACATTGTCAGTATTTGTACTTGAAAAATACTGTACAAAACGAACATACTATAATTATTCTGTATAAACTTTATACATTTTATAATATCTATCCTTTTGGTCTAGAGTAAACACTTAGATTGATCGGATTAACCACAGTATATGACAACACCATCCCCCTCTGAAATACACCAGTGTCTCTTACATTCATTTTTCAGAAGTCCACTTTATATTAGAACATACATGTTCAAAAGCAGTTTAAAACAATGAAGTTCAGAACCATCAGTTCATGTCACACTCAAAACAACAATCACTAAGAAAAAATGGGCTTTGCAAACCAGTGACTTCTTCTAACTGAATAAAAGTGATTTTTTTTTTTAAACAGCAAGATATAATCCACAGAAAATATATTACAAAACGTGGGAAAAAACCAACTGAATTTAGGTATTTATTCAACTTTTAATCACAAAATGGAGTAACTAACTGAAAACAGAAAAGCCCCTCTGATTTCAACATCAGACCTGATTTGACGCTATTGAATTTTGTTCTCATTTTCAACCAACGATCCTGCTCCTCACACGTGCGCTCCCCCACGGCAGGGACACACCAGCCTGGCAACGTGTCCCAGCTCATGGGAACGTGTCTGGGACTTTTGGGAACTCCTTGTTAAAGACATGGAGGCTGCTGTTGGGTAGGGAACCACCCCACGTCCACGGGGAACATCCGGGCAGCATGCACGCAGGATTATTGCTTCAGGTACAGGCAGTGCAAGGAACACACTCTGTGCTCTACCAACAACTCCTACCTACCTACCTGGGGTCCGTGGAGAGAAAAGGAACCTTAGCAGCTACAGAGAAGCCATTATGGGATCTATCATGAGTATAGCTAAACTCAGTCTAACAGCACTTTTTAAATCTGAAGACAATTATTACCAAAACTTAAAAATACAACGAAAGCGATCTATAAATTAATAGTTCTGCAGTGTAGTACTAAATTATTATTTGTGCACTTTATTAGCATGTTAACTCTTCTGATTAGACAGACTTAAAACGATAGCTTGTTACTCTCGAAAAAAAACTGAGATCTACCTTTTTTTTCTTTTTTCTTTTTTTTTTTCTTTTTTTTTTTTGTAATTTATGCTGGGATCTTTCCAAGTAAATCAGGAGGATGGAACTGATTACGAGAACATAAAACCCCTACTCTGAAGCAGCACTGAAGGAAAAAAAAAATATATATATAATAAAAAGCTTACTATGGCGGTTCTCAACAGTCCAGGTAAAAATGTGGCACCCTTTGAAGAGGGCTGATAAAAATGGGAAGTGCTGAGATGCGCACGCACACGCACAGCCACGCACATGCACACCCACAGACACAGACCTGGGCACACACGTGTGCACACACACACACGCAGGGACACGTACACGCAAACAAAAAGAAAAAAAAAAAAACAACAAAAAAACCAACGTTAAGTCAGTTTTGTTTCTGCTTCTGGTAAAGTGCTGAAGACAGAAAGGTTGGTTTGGGTGCGGTGCTATCAAACAGGAAACACATTGTCCATCTAGTCAAATGCCAACCCGCAACAAAGAAAAAAAAAAGAAAAAAAGAAAAGAAAAAAGGAAAAAAAAAACCCCGAAACACCCCACCTCCCCCACCTGGGATTTACAGGGGGCCGTGCCGAGCTTCGTACTTGGCCAGGACGTTCTTGCACTTGCCCAGCTCTTTCCGCAGGTCGGCCACCTCCTGGCGCAGGGCCGAGTTCTCCTTCTCCAGGAAGGAGGCGCGGATGGCGATCTGGTTCTCCTTCAGCCGCCGCGCGTCCCGCGAGCGCTTCGCCGCCATGTTGTTCTTTCTGCGCCGGGCCCAGTATTTGTCATCCTGCTCGTGAGACACACAGAGAGGCAAACAAAGGTGTTACACTTGGCTAGAGGCAGAGCTGCCCACCGGGAGCCGCTCCGGAGCGCGGTGGCCGCGGCGTCGCCCGTGGCACGGCGGGACCGGAGTTACGGCTTTGTGTGGCACAATCTGCCCTGGCAGCGCAGGTGCCCTCACATGCTTCTGTCAAAATGTTTACACTAACCCCCTCATCCTCCTGACGGGGAATTCCTCCCAGGAAAAGTGAAGCAATGTTCCGGAGGTACAATCCATCTCCCATCTAGGCTGACCTAGTTAGCGCATCCACCTCCGTGTGCCGTGACTCACCCTGAACAGCGGCTGCAGCAGCACCAAGTTACCTCTGGCCCTGCTCAGCGCTGCCAGCCAACACCTGGTCCACTCTCTGTGTTGCTATCACCCATTTCATCCACTGCTCTGCTCTTTTTTAATGTTCAAAGCACTCTACAGAGCCCCAAAATGTTCCTGTCTGCACCACTGTCGCCACAAGAGGATTCCTTGGCACAGTGATCATGGCTGTTCTGGGACCAACCACAGAGATTAGTGCAATAGGCTTTGGCTGTGGAAAAAAAAAACATTGGACAGAAATAGGTCCACTACTCCCTGAGGTTTCATAAGCTAACACATTCCCAAAGTGTTATCCCTGAAGACTTGCCTCTGGATTACCTTCCTGCATTGGTGTATCAAAGACTCGAAGTAAGGACTGAATTTCACCTGATTTTTCCACTCTTCCAATGAAGTGGCCTTCAGCAAAATGGCAGTTTTCATGTTGCTTCGTAACTGAATTAAGTTCTAGAATTTTGGAGCAACTCAGGAAATACAAAGCAGGTAGAATCTCTTGTGAAAAGCGAAATTCTGTCCCTGCAGAGTATGAGTGATGCAGCCACTCAACCCTCAAACTCTGCCTGGCCAAGTCACAGAGTGCAAACTCCCTCTTTCTCCATCCTAACATGCTTCCATTTCCCTGTGCAGCTCCCAAGGACCAGGGCAGGACACCCAGCTGCTCCTCTGCTGCACTGAGCAAACATCCATCACTCCTGGGTCCTTGTGGCCAGCCTAATCCTGCTGCTCTGCACCTTCTGCTGCTGCACAAGGCACAGCAGGAGCAAAACAACTGCTGGCAGGAGGGCTCTTGAACTGCTTTCTATCAGTTTGGCTCAATAAAGAGTGCAGGAATGCTGATCTGGAGCCAGCATTATCTCTAAATGGCTCTTCACCTGTACGTAGATGGGCCCCAGCAAAATCCTCCAAAAAAACAAGCATGGAGCAAAAAGCTGTGACCCAAATCTTGTTTATAATTTCCCATCTCAATTCACTCCATAAAAATCAGCTTTAAGCAATTTATTAGTGTGCCACCTAGGCCTCATCCCTCTTTATTTTAACAAATTGCTATAGCAAATCCCTTAATCCAGGCCTGAAAGAGGTAAGGCTGGCATTTCCAAATCACATGCAGCCCAGAGACGATTGACTGCTCTAATCTGCTTACCCTCCCCCAAAACCCAGAGGCTCCACATGCCAGGGCAGGAGCAGCACTTGGGTCAAGCACTCTGAAACAAGTCAAGGGCAAGTGATGGGATGATCCTGAGGGAATGAGAGACCCTGAGCTCCTGCTTCACTCCTGTGCTGCACTGCTGGGCTCCACCTCTGGCCAACAGCTTGCCAAAAGCTTGCTTTGATGAATAAGGGCACCTGGGAGACGTGACAAAGGGAGAAACTCCAGCCATTCCTGCAGCAATGCCTCTCCCTTGGGCACTGCACGCCAACAGGGCATCACGGGCAGCAGAACTTGCCCAGGTAAGCAACGAGGTGCAGGCAAAGCTTTGAAAGGAAAGCTGAGTGACAGCAACCTGAACACGACTGCAATTGTGATTTCTGTGCTTTTAACTCGCACCACAGCATGCTTAGGGATAAAAATAGCTTCTTTCCCTAATGCTATCAATCTGGTGCAAACACATGGCATCCCAGGCTCCCTGCACATGCAGCCAGGGATTCCCACTGCCTCCAACAGGCTCTCAGGCTGCGTCCCTTGGGGGCAGTAGCAACAGCAGAATGAAATTCTGCCCTGACTGCCTCTGATAAAAGAGATCCTCTTGGAAAGCACATACCAGGAACACAACTTTGCAAATAATATTCAGAGTGTTTGATAACCTGGGTCAGTTGATTAATTTTCTTGCTATCTTCATGCACTTTGCTCTTCACATCTCAGAAGCAGTGAGTGGCACAGACTCTTTCTTCTAAAATATTGACGTCATGTTGTATTTTACATATTGTATTAAAACACACCTCTCAGCAGAAAAATTCTGTTTTCTTCTGTTTTCCTACCACTTGTCTAGATTCTTTCACCTGGATTAGTGAATATATATTAGTGAAATAGCTTTTACTATAGTGCTCTCATTCATTATTAAACACAGAACTACAGAAACTTCTCAATAAGACACAATATACTTCAGTATGCCATCAGGGTCCTCCATTCTCCTTGAAGGATTCACAGCCTGTGCTGAATAGACAGAGGATGAAGAAAAAGGAAACATGAATAGAGACAGGATGAAGAAAAAGGAAACATGATCAGGCTGTTTCATAAGTGGGAAATATGGGACAAAGCAAGCTTGTCCAAGGTCAAGCAGGAAGTTTCTGGCATACAAAGGAAATGAATACTGAGCTCATGAATTTCAACTGTTGCATAACTAATAAGGGACATCCTCCCTTCAGTCTCATCCAGAACCCTGAACACTTTTATTCTACAGCAAACTCAGATTTACACGGAAAGATTTCCCTTACATGACAAAACAGATTCATGCTCCAAATCTGTACCTCAGTGAGCAATGTCAGAGACCCTGCAGGAATCACCTCGTCACCAGCTCCCAATTACCTTCAGGTCATCTGGGATGAAGACTTTGCGAGCTTTCTTAATCATGGGCTGGGGTTTCAGCTCCTCCTCGGAGAACTTGCGCTTGCGAGGATCGAACATCTCCTGGCCAGGAATGCTGGACAGAGCAAGATCTGCAGGGTCAGGCTCGTAGCCCACAGGAACTTGGATAGTCTCAGGATCAATGGGGCTTGGTGTGTTCCGGTTTGCTGGCAAGATCTGACCTGCAGAAATACAGGACAAATACAGCTGGGTTAGGAAAATATGGTAATTGTAGCAAAGGGTTCTAGAAGATCTCTAGATATTTTACTAGCAGTAATTATTTCAGCTTTCCCTTCAGATTTGGTATCTATGCTTACTAAATATTAGGTTGTCCATTCTGCAAGGTGCATATTCTGACCCAGACGTGCTCATTGCCTTTATTTTCAGAATCTGTTCCTAACTCTGGTTGCTAGTCTTGGATTCCAATGTAACATGACTGAATCCAACACTGAGCTGCACTGGACTGCAGGCAGAAGATATATTGCTCCAACCTGAGCCACTTCATTACGATCCCATCCTCAGGAACAGATCAGAAGTTCTGTCATTTAGTTCAGATCTATCAGCACGCTGTAACCCCTCAGAGTTATACCTCTGAGGGGATGTTTATTCTACAACCAAACAATGTACTGTACACGCCACGAATAGCATCTTATAAAAATGTACTTTTAGCTGTGCTGAAGCACTCCAAGGAGACAGCTATTTATTCTTTATTAAATCCTACCAGGGATATTCTAAAATACAGTGAAGGAAACCAGTGATATGGAAGGCTACAATGATTCCTTAAAGATGCTCTGCAAAAATTAAAAAGACACTTATCGATGTTGCATTTCTCTTTTATGGTATATAAAATCTAATACAAAGGAGCATGTCCCCAGAAAATGAGTGATATACTTCCCATTTTTCTCTTTTTGATTTTAGATAAAGCCTTCAAGATCCTACAGCACCAATTTGGGCACCATTCCCACTAAAAATCCAATTTAAAATCTCAACCAAAGGCTCCAAAAATAGGATCCTGAAGTCAGCTGCCTAAACATGGACTATCCCCGGGGGCAGAATTTTCAGAAGTTTTCACATGCCTCAGAAGTAGAAGCCTCACAGACTTCAGAGGGAGGCCTTCTGATTGAAGCAGATATTCTTTTATCATTTTGGCTATTTGCTAATTCACTTTGACTTTAGCAATATGACGGCTTTCATGATAACTACAAAAACATCCTGTGGCTGTGTAACGTTTCCTTACTTGTGCCCATGTCTGCAATATTTAGGGTGTAAAACAGTAAACATTACATGCCATTTCTAATTCCAAGGCCAGCATTAACAATGTAGTTTTTATTTTAATAATATGGGAACTGCACGGAAAACGCACCGGGGGAATTGCACTGCGCAGGGCTTGCTAAGGGAGAGCTTTTGTAACTCTAATATAAGAGCTGATAAAATCAGCTTCCAGGAAAGGCTGGTGAGGGCTAGGGAGAGGAGAAAAGGAGGATCAAAGTTATCAAAATATAGATGGAGAGGAGAGGGAGCGCGAGGGAAGGATGCTGCTGCTGCTCGCACGGTGCCGC